ATACTTGCCAGTCTTGGCATCATAGATCTCAGAGGCAGCGAAATCGCAACCAATACGGCAGGTATCCTCATGGCCAGACTTCTTGATGGCCTCTAAGAGGACGGAGAGGGCCTCATCCATGTCCTGAATATTGGGGGCGAATCCACCCTCATCACCGACGTTGGTGGCGTCCTGACCGTACTTGGCCTTGATCACCGACTTGAGCTCATGATAGACCTCAGAGGCGATCCTGATAGCCTCGTGAATGGAGGAAGCACCGCAGGGGACGAGCATAAACTCCTGGCAAGCAAGACGGTTACCAGCGTGTTTACCACCATTGATGACATTGAAGCATGGGCAGGGCATGAGGAACTTCTCAGTGTCCTTACCAGCAAGCTTGGCGATATACTGATAGAGAGGCATGTTCGAGGCGGCAGCACCGGCACGGCAGACAGCCATAGAAACGGCGAGGATGGCGTTGGCACCGAGCTTGGCCTTGCACCAGCCCCACTCGTTCTGAGTACCGTCCAACTCCTCAACCATAAACTTATCAATACCGGCCTGATCGGTAACGTCCTTGCCGATGATAGCGGGGGCAATGACCTTCTCGACGTTGGCGACAGCCTTGAGGACACCCTTACCCTGATAACGGGCCTTATCACCATCACGGAGCTCAAGAGCCTCGAACTCGCCAGTGGAAGCACCAGAGGGGCAGGCAGCGCGGAACATGCCGTCCTTAGTGGTAAGATCAACCTCAACGGTCGGGTTGCCACGAGAATCGAGGATCTCACGGGCCTTAATGGAGATAATAGTCGACATTATTATTGAATAGAACAAATATCAATCGAAACTGGAATGAGATAATAATGAAAATGCTGATACCAACTCATGAAACATGAGTCATGTTATCGGTTGTTCGGTTATCATGTTACATGACAACCGACGAACGATTACAACTATCAACTACAACCATTGCACATAGAACCGCTACGGTACTTCCATCAGCAGCAGCCCATATCCTAAGCTCAAAGCGACATCGCTTAAAACGCTCTGTCGGCGACACAACGACGAGACAGGTTGTCGCTCGGGCTCATTTACAAGGTCCGTCCTACATTGATTGGACTCCAGTCGTGATCTCGTTCAACATCATTTGGTGTATCGTTATCCCTGTTCGGAACAGGAACACGCTGTTCCTGCCGTTGTCTTCATTTTAAGGGTCCGATGAATCTCTCAAACGGAGTAAATCTGCAAACTGCGTTGATTATGTGGCGCGTGACATTTCCATCGATTTCGGGTTCGAACCCCGGCAGGGCTGGCTCAGTTACAAAATAGCAAAGGAGCTAATAGCAAAGAAGTGCGACTTGCTGGAAAACCCTTTCAAATTTGCTACTTTAAACATTTGCTTGGTGAAGTCTATACTAGTTATTGCTGGGGTGTAAATGAGGTTATTACTTCGTAACTGAGAAAGTAGCATGTACACAGTAGCGAAGAAGTAAGACTGTTGGAAATTATAGCACTCGGCAAATCCGCAATATTTGCATAGAAGTGAGATTGTCGGATTGCATTACACCGCCCATGCAGAGGTGTTCGTCGCCGATCACTTATGCAAGTGATCTGAACATTCTCATTACCTCGCAGTTTTTCAAGGAGATGAATGTCGCCCACATGGAGACGGGAATAGAATCATTGGCGGGTCCGGAGACTCTCGTGAAAGGCAGATTCAGATTGACACTGGTACCTCAGGTTACGACCAACGGATACAGAAAAAATATGTCACCTTTGAGAACTTAATTCCTCTGTCTAGGTCGGTGAACAAGCTTGTGGCAAGACGTCGTTGATCCAAGCCTTGAAAGCTGCGGAACGAAGAGGCGAATCAAACCGATCCTTTTCCGATGCCTACCGCATGGTAGAGGCCGAGTTCCTCCGAGTATAAGATGATTTCACCAGACTCTCGGACCCGAGATCACCTCGCAATCGATGACAACCTCAACTGGATCCGTCATGCTCAACATCGTGGATGCCCCTGGCCTCACTATAAGCATCCAAGATGATATCCTTATTCGCCGATTCGTAGGGACACTCTTTCGTTGTGTCTGACACTTTTTTCGTGGGAGATTCCACTGAGTGTCAGTTCATCAGGCTTGCGAACCTAATAGATGATCATCATTCCCTCTGAGTGTGGCCCTGTCTCCCACGTCACTGCTGTGTTGCAGGTCCAAGATCCAGATATGCTCTTCGCCTTCGTGTTCGATGTGAACTCCCCAGACAGCGCCCGAGGAATGGAAGCTTGGTGGAAACTTATAGAAAATTCCAGAAAGAGTATTGGCGTTTCAAGGTAACCCACGCGATGATACTATCAGCGGCTATCATTCGATCTCATTTCTGCGTCACAATGCATGTAGTTTGCTGGGGCGTCAATGGTGAATATGAAAGACCTACTATGAGATTACCATGTTTTGGCACTCTAGCAATCTGTGATCGCATGAATCATATTTACAAACGTCATTTCGATCGATTTGCCGGTATCAGAAATATCGTAGATTCGTCAAGGGCGTCATCATCGCCACCAAGAGCGATTTTCCTGGAAAATCTAAAGATCGTCAGGAAGCTGAGACGATCGGCAAGGCATTTGCTCGGACGGTCGGTATGGATTATTATGTGACAACCTCAGTAGTCTTAGCATAGTCGATCAAGAGAGCGAATGTCTACAACAGGTTGGCGTTGACGGCGTTAAAGAACCGTTTGAGCATCTTGTGGAGCTAGCAGCAGTGGATCAGTGAACACATGCTAGCTTGATTGGTCTCGCAAAAAATTCATCTTTTTGTGTTCTCCAACGGGAAATTTCTGCGAGTAGTTCACAATTTTTCCAAGGCTTTTTAGGTTGTCTTGAATTTTTTATTCGAGTTATAACTCGGGACTGACTTAGGATTCGATAATCGAACTTGAATGCCCCCGTCTTGCTTCACTGAAGCAAAATCCATCGTGAGAAAAGAAGTCGTTATTGTAGCACTCACAACACTAGCTGCTGCAGCAGCAGCAGTAGGATTGTATTATGCTAGACTTGAACCCGATACCACCTTGACGACTCGTCATCCTGTTACGAAGGCCTCCAAGGCAAAAGAAGTAATCTCTACGTTTGTATTAATAGGTTGACCATTTTGGCGTGTTGGAATATATGTCCGCTTTCCTTAGCTGAGCCTTGGGGTTTTCTCATGTAGTACAGAAGTTTATATAAGAATTCGGGTGGAAGTGTAGAGAAACCAACGAAAATTTCCCAAAATTTCCTCACAATTTTCATCTTGTCACCAACACATGCAGTTGACCATGTGCATATTTTCACACATTGTCATTTCGGGAGAAACTCGTTTGACTCTCTTGGTTGGTGTTTTAGATTTGCTGTTTCTTATTAGTCTTCTCACACCCATACCACACCATCATCATCTTCGATGTCCCAGCGGCCGATCTATACTGCAATACTACGTAAGGTGACCGACAGACTCAAGCCAACG